TAGCTTCTTCGTCTTGTTTTTCTTGTTGTCGTTTAGCATCTTCTTCTTGGTTTTCTTGTTGTCGTTTAGCTTCTTCGTCCTGTTTTTTCTTGTTGTCGTTTAGCTTCTTCGTCTTGTTTTTCTTATCGTCGTTTAGCATCTTCGTCTTGTTTTTCTTTTTGTCGTTAAGTTTTTCCTTTTTTTTTTTTTTTTGTCGCCTCCCTTCTTCGTCTTGTTTTTTTTTGTTGTCGTTTGGTTTCTTGAAATCCCAACATTTTGCGCAAAAGTTCTTCAATTTTTTGTTCGTCCATTTTTGCTTGTTATCTCGTGATAGGCATATACAGAATGTTTTAGAATTTCCCTCAAACTTTTTTCATCGATCTTTCCTGATCTTTTTCGACTTTTTCTGAATGACGATTGATGTTTCGAATATTTCGGCGAAGTCAGAAATTCGATATCTCCCTTGGTTTCCAAATAGAATTTTCTAGAACTCATTAGAAGATTCACTATCACAGTCAAAATCGGGTAGGTATACAGTCACTTCCGGGGTAATTTACACGATCAGTTAAGTCTCTTTTTGTGATTGTCACGTTTTGCTCCGACTAACTGTCCCAGTGTTCACTTAGTGTTCAGTGTTCACACTGCACTAGTGTCCCTGCACTATTCTGTAATTATATTTCACTTTGCAGTTCTTTCTGACACCAATGTCACGGCTTTGGTGTTCGTGACAGAAATCTTGGGTTCGTTGTTCGTTCATTCCAAAATCAAAGTCCAATCAACACTGCAATAATTTTTTCCGTAAATTCGTGACATGCTGGCGAACTCGACATTTCGTTTAGGTAGAGGTACCTACTATCTGTAATAGGGCAGCATTTACGTCCGGTATTTTTTTTATTTTTTCATTCTTAGATTTAATTTTTTCTTTTATTTGAATATTAGATTTAGGTATGTACATATAACCTGCAATAGGAAAACAGATAACGACAGCTTTAATTCATTTATTCTTAGATTTAGTTTTTTTTTTTTTTTTAATTGATTATTAGGTTTAGTTTTGTACATATAACCTGTAATGAAGGCAATAACGAGAGCTTTAATTCTTAGATTTTTTTTTTTTTTATTTTGATTATTAGGTTTAGTTTTGTACATATAACCTGTAATGGAGCAATAACGAGAGCTTTAATTCTTTTATTCTTAGATTTAGTTTTTTTTTAATTTGATTATTAGGTTTAGTTTTGTACATATAACCTGTAATAGGGAGAAGAGACGGCAACATCCAGTGTTATTTTAATTCTCTAAGTCAACTGTACATATAACTTGTCTAAGCAACTGTACATATTACTTGTGTTAGAAAATGGGATACCCCGAAGTAGTGTTCGTTTAATTCTTTTGTTCCTTAGATTTTTTTATTTTTAAACTTGATTATTAGGTTTAGTTTTGTACATATAACCTGTAATGAAGGCAATAACGAGAGCTTTAATTCTTAGATTTAGTTAGTTTTTTTTTAATTCGATTATTAGGTTTAGTTTTGTACATATAACCTGTAATGAAGGCAATAATGAGAGCTTTAATTCTTAGATTTTTTTTTTTTAAATTTGATTATTAGGTTTAGTTTTGTACATATAACCTGTAATGGAGCAATAACGAGAGCTTTAATTCTTTTATTCTTAGATTTTTTTTTTTTTAACTTGATTATTAGGTTTAGTTTTGTACATATAACCTGTAATGAAGGCAATAACGAGAGCTTTAATTCTTAGATTTAGTTAGTTTTTTTTTAATTCGATTATTAGGTTTAGTTTTGTACATATAACCTGTAATGGAAGCAATAACGAGAGCTTTAATTCTTTTATTCTTAGATTTAGTTTTTTTTTAATTTGATTATTAGGTTTAGTTTTGTACATATAACCTGTAATAGGGAGAAGAGACGGCAACATCCAGTGTTATTTTAATTCTCTAAGTCAACTGTATATATAACTTGTATAAGCAACTGTACATATTACTTGTGTTAGAAAATGGGATACCCCGAAGTAGTGTTCGTTTAATTCTTTTGTTCCTTAGATTTTTTTAATTTTTTTTAATTTGATTATTATTTTTAAGTATGTACATATACCCTATAAAAGGGGAAAGAGCAGTTACCCCCGGTGATATTGTAATTTTTTTGCTTTTAGATTTAATTTTTTTTTTAATTTGATTATTTTAAGGTGTACATATAACCTGTAATACGGAAAGAGAGACAACCCCCCCAGTGTCCTTGTAAATCTTTTGTTCTTAGATTTAGTTTTTTTTTAAATTATTATATTTAGGTAGGTACCTCTACCTCTAACCTTTGTTGTAGGTATTTGATTATTGGTGAAAGTTGTTGGTTGTGGCTGGAATTTCGAGTATCAACCCCAATTAGTTTTAAGAGTTCTGCAATAAAATGTGAAATATAATCGATATTGTTTTATTTTATGTTTTTCAAAAGTTTTCCTGAACAATTATTTGAGGAACGTCCATGGCCTTTCCCCATATATTGACACCCCACATGTAGCCTTTACCTTTAAATATGGAAGAAAGGTGTGAAAACAAAATGTGTGGAGTTTTGGCTAAATTTTTATGCGTTTAAACTAGGTATATGTTTCTGGAATCGGAAACTTGTGCTCTTCAAAAATATAGAACCAAATATAGGGCATTTCATTGGAAAAAAAGTTGAAGCTACGCAAAATTTCAAATTTCTGACATTAAATGTTTGTTTTTGATGACGGATTGTAAAAATTTAGCTGAAATGCCTAACTTTCGTTTTTGTACCTATTGTCTATCTGTAACGGTAGAGGTTACAGGTGGGGTGTCAATATATGGGAAATGACCCTGTAGAATTTGGTAGGTACATCTCTGTGAACCATGTGTAGGTAGATCCACTTGGGCCCTGATAATCCATCAAGTGCCATTCTGACAATTTTCACTGTGGAGTACAATCTCACCTACAGAAAGAACATTGGTTAAAAAACTAAAAGCCTCTTTTAGCCGTTTGCACCGAACATTTTAAGGGAGGTTTAACGATAATCAACGTTTAAAGTGACTTTATTAGATGTAAAAATGTCACTTTAAACGTTGATTATCGTTAAACCTCACTTAAAATGGTCGGTGCAAACGGCCATCAATAAATTGTCTCAAATTACTATAGAAAAACCTCCAATGCGTATGGAGGTCCAATAGCACCAGCACAAGACTGCTTAAAAGCAGTTCTTCCAGTAATTCTCGTTTACAGAGAATCGCAAATTGATAATGACATCTTCAACGAAATTCCTCAGAAACCAATACAACAAGAACTGAGCTAGGTAGGTTCCCAGATTAGAAGGCAATTAGACAACTAAAAAACAATAAGTCGGCTGGTACTGGAATTTCAATTGCATTCACAATTGGTATCTAATTTTCTCATGCCTGGGTGACCACGAGATATTATACTTATTTAGGTTTAGATAGGGCGTGGAGATCGATATCGATTTAAACTTTTCGACATATCGATGCAAAAATTCAGCATTAAACCTGACGCGTCCGGTTCAGCAACCTCTTTATCTCAACTGAATTACCTACCGGCTATATTATTGGGTAGTTTGAGTTGAGCTAGGTTGTGGATTGTGGGTATATTGGACAAAGAAACTAACCGTGTCTCTCTTGTAATCCTAATTTCTGTAATGACTTGCTTCAAATTAAAAGTGAACAACCCTGAGGATCCAGATTATCGGTGAGTATTTTTTCTTTTTGATCGCTTATGTCGCTTTTTTTCCTTTTTTTTTCTCAATTTTTTTCTATTTTTTAGTAAGAAACTTTATGACATGTATAGACTACAGATTTTTGTTTTTATATATTTTTTATGCCTTTTTTCGACACATTTTTTATTCGCCCATAAATCCGCATCTAGAACTTGCTTTGTGTCTATCTTACCAACATGTCGGTATTTAAAAAAAAACGCGATTAAAAATATTTAGAAGCACTTATGGCCGTTTGCATCGACGATTTAAAGGTAGGTTCAAGGATAATCAACGCTTAAAGTGACATTTTTACATGTAAGCATTGATTATCTTTAAACCTGCCTTAAAATATGTTCGGAGCAAACGACCATTAATAGTCTTACCAGAAAAATTTCACTTCCGATTCAATCGAAAGCTTTCAGAATTCAGACGAGCCACTTTTGAGGTTATGTTACAGGAATTATGGTTCCTTGATAGCGATAGCCGATCATTACTATCGGCTATCGCTAATTATGGTTCCCGATAGCGATAGCCGATAATTACTATCGGCTATCGCTAGCAGGAACCATATTATGAAAATTCGTATTCTACGAACAATTTAAAATAGTTTCTAGGTTTCTAATATTCTAATATTAATCCAAGAACAAATTTTCGTTAAACTTTAAATCTTAAAATCGGTACACTTCAGGTATAATATACAAAATAACAAAAACTATTTTAAATTGTTCATAGAATACGTACCTACGAGTTTTCAGCTATTAGTATGGGGTAGATATCATTGAAATTATTGCAGTAAATAATTCAGTCCGGAATAAAAACAAAAGGTGTGGCTAGAAACCTTGAATAATAAAGGTCTATTCTCACTTGCGCTTCACTCAGCTCGGCGACGCGACACGACGCCGCGCTGCAAATTGTCGCTAGATAAATATTTCATTGTTTTAAATGAATAGATTCCCACCTACACTGCACTACACTTTACATTTAAACTAATGAAATATTTATCTAGCGACAAGTTGCTGAGTGAAGCATAAGTGAGAATTGACTTTAAAACTCATAGCCAATTTTTGCATTTTCCAGGTTTTCGAATTTTTGTTTTTCTTTTTTTAACGAAAATAACAGAAAATTCACTTTTGTAAGAAACACATAAGAATGGCCTAGAATCCTTGAATATAAGAATAATGGAGATTCAAAGGGTCTGCAATAAGAAAATCGAACATCATAATCACGAGTGTGGGTAGCACAGTATTTTATCTTCTACGAACTAGGTTGGAAAAATAAAAGAATTCATTTATTTTGACAAATTTTTTATTGAAAACATTATAGGATAATTTGTAGGGATATCCAAAACTGTTCGAAAAATATGGTAGCAGGTACAGATTGTAGCGCAATTAAAAAACCTATCACTAAAATTACAAACTAGGTATTCAAACAGTAAAATTAAGATCTCATATTTTTGATGAAGTCAGAACTCTTAAGCTCAACAACAAAATAAAATATTACAGAATGACTTGAAGGTAATTATACCGCTGCTGACAATTAAAAAACCAAAAACAACCTCACTAAAATTACAAACTAGGTATTCAAACAGTAAAATTAAAATCTCATATTTTTGATGAAGTCAAACCTCTTAAACTTAACAAAATACAATATTACACAATCAGGACAAAGACTCGAAAACTATGCAAGCTTGAACATCTAGTTTTCGACTACTTTACCTAAAAAAAAATGATAAGTTTTTTTTTGAGGTTAAAGCACGTTAAATAAGGCACTTACTGTCAGCTTGTGATGCTTGCGCGACGATGCCAGATTCGTTATATCTGATAGACGACGCATTAATCATTGACAATAATAAGTCAACAGGTGAATTTCCTATGTGAAAACAAATAAAACAATTAATAAGTAGCTCGAAAGTAAAACCATATTAGGCATTCCAGGTTGACGTCATAACCGATCCGCCATTTTAGCTGAGGGGTAAACAAAAGCCAAACATAACCTGATTTAACGTTATTTTCAATGCAAACCGACAATTTTTGAAGTATTATTTTTTAAAGATTGTAAAGATGCCTTCGTTTTGTGGCGTTTCTGGGTGCTCCAATAGAGCTGAAAGGGATAAAGTGAGGTTTTTTAGGATTTCAGCAGCATTTAAAGATCGAGGGGATCGAATAAACGAGCTATCAAAAAAACAACGGAGTATGTGAATTATATGCCCCAATAGGGGAGATTTGCCTGTAACGTTGTTGAAAATGCTCGAATTTGTTCGAAACATTTTGTTAATGGTAAGTTTTATGACTGTCTTGTTGTTAAAATACAAAAACACTTCATCTCGGTATATCAAAAAAGTTTTGTTTATGTTTCTACAAGTATATAGGTAACTTTTAATACCTTTTAGGTAGTCCAGCAGAATTTAAGGATACAAACAATCCGGATTGGGTCTCCAGTACAAATTTAGGATATACTACGATAATTGATAAAAGCCCAGAATGAACAAGCCAGTAAGCTAAGCTACATGCCAGACCTATGCACCGATCAGAACAGTCAAAACGTTTAAGGAGTCAATCTACCACAAATTTATTTTGCTAAAGTTTATTTGTAAGGTTGTTAGTATCAAACTTTTTTATTTTTTAAACAATTCAGATTCTTAAGCATTATTTTTGGTAATAAATTGTTTGTTTACTATTGTTGAGTTGAAATGTAAAGTGGCATGTCTGTAAATAAAGATTCATTCATTCACAAAAACTAAAAACAACTTAAAACTTATTGAACAAATCAAAAAACGCAAAAATTCCGAAGCACAAACTCATAAAACACTGTAAACAATATGATCTATAGGCTTTGTTTGCCCCTCAGCTAATATGGCGGACCTGTCAAAAGTCACGTGACCTGGAATGCTGATCATGCACAGGGACTCTTCCTTATAGTTAGTGCGGCTTCTACAACAACAAAAAAAAATCAAAAAAAAGTTAAATAAAAAAGTCATAGGATTTTATCTCTATAGTTGTATTCCTTTCAAGAGTTTAGAGCACTCGAGCTACTCGCTCCAGTGTTAGTCGCCTTCGATTTGAAAGGAACATACGCGTAGTGCAACAAACACTTTTCGAAAGGAATAAGCGCGTAACGCCCCGGAGCTGTTCCTAGGTGTGAAAGGAACACAGCTTGTTTTTTTATGTTTTGCACAAATCAAAACGGGCAAATGACAGGTGCCAACTGTCATAATGACAAAAACCTTTTTTTTCAAATGGAACATTCTGCATATTTTTCGATAGAATGATAGATTTTTTTTATTCTGTTTCCAAATGTACCATATATTTGGTTCAGCTGTTTCTATAAGTTTAAAAATGCATTTACATTAGTCATTACCCTAAATTAGGTCTGTTTCCGGTTTCTTGGTGAGGCTGAGGCTTACTTAAGCAATTTTAAACTTAAATAGCGCAAAAACAGCTGAACCATGTTGATAATTGGTTTTGGATACCATATGGTATATTTGGAATCAGAAGAACGATATCTATCATTCTATCGAAAAATATACAGGGTATTCCATTTAAAAAAATGCATGTGTTGTCATTATGACAGTTGGCACCTGTCATTTGACCGTTTTGGCTTGAGCAAAAGATAATAGAGATAAAGCTCTACAACTTTTGTATTTACCTACATTTTTTTAAAATTTCTTTCGTTTAAGTTGAAGAAGCCTCACTAATTATAAGGAACAGACCCTGTATATACGGAAGGGGGTGATTCTTTGGTTCATTTAATGACTTAAATTTCTAATAAACATAGGACCTATGCAAACGCAACAGGGTGTTGAAATTTTAATGTATTCATATTGGAAATGAGCAAGAATATGGCGGTGAGGGCGTGGCTTATTTCTAGATTCCTCTTGAAAATTAGCAAGAATATTTCGGTGGAGCCACTGAAGATTCATCGAGCTAATAACAGGAGATTTGTTATAAAATAAACCAAAGAATCGCCCCTGCTAAAACTGATAATGCCTTTTATCCTCAAAATCCATCTCTATTAAGTATAGCTATACCTTTGCAGCAAGAGTCGACAGTACTTCCAAAAATACTTTTATATTACAAAGAACAATGTGACAAATTTTCAATCATTCAATAATAATCACTGTCATCTCTTGACATCATCACAAACGTCGGTACGTATATTTATCAAAAAATATAAAAAGAAAAAGGGGCTTCTAACAACCCGGCCCCTTCCGTTTGTACATAGATATTTATAACGAAAATGAGAAACATATAAAAATAGTAAATGAAAATAAAAAAACGTATCAAAAAAATCCAATATTTAAAAAAAAGATTCTGTAACATCATCCAGCTTGGTAGAAATACTATAAGGGATGATCTACGTCACATGCTAAAAAATCACTTGTCCAGGGCGTGGTTGAAGGGCATAGATCCGCCCAAAAATGTACTCAAATGAAATCAGGAGTGCGTTCGAAATCACCCTGGGCGTCACACCGAGTGCACACCAGCCATGAATTTTTCATGGCTGGTGTGCACTCGGTGTGACGCCCAGGGTGATTTTGAACGCACTCCCGGTATCAAAAATTTAGTAGCAACACCAAACTTGGTAGGAATATTACTTGATATGATCTAAGTGTCACAATGAGAAGCACATTTCTAGCACGGGGATGGAGGAGAGATAGTCAACCCCAAAATTAAAAAAAAAAAACATGTGTAGCATCGAACACGTGTTAAGAAGTGAAACTTCTTAAAAACTATTCCCCCTCATACAATTTTTAGACTTAGCTTATGAGTCCGAATAAAGACGAAGAACCACACAAAGGGGAGACGCGCATCTGTAGTCATGTCACAAGGGTATCGGCGCTAGACAATAACAGGCAATCCTCTTTGCTTATGATCCTTGGCTTGTGTATATCAATTGTTGTTATTCTCTGTCTCTCTACGTTATATCTTTCTTCTATTTCGTGTAACGAAATGAGTCTAAACGTGACGATACGTGACGCATCTTTCAATTCACTCTCTTCCCATTCTCGTTCAAATATCAGATCGCCGTGCCGCCTAAGAAGTTTCACTTCAAAAAAAAAACTTTCTCAAAAAAAGACTTTGCTTGGGAAGATCCAAGTGATCTAATCGAAAAAGCACATGTCTGTCTCTGGGGTGAAGGGGGATATTTGATATTTGTATAGTGAGTTTTTTGAATTTTTTCAGACAAAATAATTGCACTACATCAGAAAAAAATCTTTCCGTTTCAGAATTTAGGCAAATTATAGAGACCTCTCAAAAAGAATTTCGTTTTGGGGTCGCGATAATGATTTCGCGGTAGAGTCCGTGAATCGTGAAACACTTTACAACCGCGAAAAACTTACCTTGATCGTCACCCTCGGCGATCGTTTTTGGTGTCGTCGAATTCCTACCGAATCGATTCAGACTCTGAACTTCCAGGGTTTTCGGAGATGACGTCCCCGGCATTCGACTGGACGCTAAGGCGCAGAGAGTTAATGCCGCTTCGATCTCGTCCGGTCCTACTTCGGTGGCGACACGCACGACGTCGCGGTCCGGCGTGTCGTGTTCCCGTTCGTGCGAGCGCATCTTGCGGCGTTTCGGAAACGACGCGCCGCAAATTCCGCAGTGGTACTGGTTGGGTGCATTGTGAGACTGAAAAAGTTGCGAATTAAAAAAAAATTGGCGAAACTTGCGGGAATATTTACCTTTAACTTGTGGCGAGCCAAACTATCCTCGCGGCTGAACACTTTGTGGCACATATCGCACTTTAACTTTTTCTTTTCCAAGTGAGTTTTTAGATGACGGTTCCAGTTACCTGTAATTATACGATTTTTAAAGAAGTATGTTGGCCGTTTCTGCGCCAAAGGTTTCTCCCCTTAGTGTGAGAGAGACATGCATCAAAGAAAAATATTTCGCTTCTCTGCAATTACCTAAAAATAGCATACTGCATTTTTCTTATTTATTGAAACCTAAAATAATAACATTGACCGCAGAGAACCGTCTTTCTCTAATGCATGACGTCATTCAAGTTCTCGAGTTCTTAATTAGTTCGAGTTCTGCAGCAGCAGCAGCAGCAGAATTTGTTGGGCGATGAATGGCTTGGCTGATGAATGCTTAAAGGGGGGTGTGACCCAAAAAAACAACTTAAATCAAGAACACCGGCCAATCGCAGCCTTTTGTCTGTTCAGTCGTCAGTGTGAACTGTGCCCTATACTTCAAGTGGTTGCAATTTTACACGTATTTTAACTGTGCCTTCAAAGCCATCAGTGTGACGTCACAGTTTAGACGTTTGTCACTTTGAACCGCCCCAACTCGAAAACGGTTCATCGTAGCAAGATGCAGTTTAAATATTTGTACCCCCTTTAAATACTTTCTCTTCGTCTGCCGTCAGTGTATAGATGAGTCTCTCTCACACTAACGGTAGGAAGGTAGAACAGACGTAAAACCTTAAATCCTTTTTTGCAAGAAATATGTTATACACACATATGAGAATCTCGAAAAAAGAAACAGGACAAATTCAATACACACGCATGTTATCGGTTAGGATTTACCTTTTTGAAAGAAAGCCTTAGGGCATAAAACACAATGATACGACTTGATCCCAGTATGAATTTTCTTGTGCGAAAGCAGCCCGGCCTTCCGGTTGAACTTCTTGTGGCACACATCGCAAACGTACGAACTCTCTGATGAATCCGTTTTCTTGTGCTGCGCCAGCGTATTCCTGGTCCGGGATCCTGTTAAATAAGTTAAGTTTGATTCGTAAAAAAACTAGAACTACATTAGTTACTTTTGCCGCATACGCGACAAGAATAAGCAATTTTACCCGAATGGTGGGCATGGGCCAAGTGCCTGTTGAGGCTGGTTTGGTGTCTGAACTGTTTTTGGCCTGGAAAAAAATACTAATATAAGATTGTGTCTCAATTTTAAAAATAATTCCCTCACAAATTTGGCACTCGGAAACTATAACAGCATCCCCGCTGGCCTTCTTGTTACTTTGTTTAACTCTTCCGAATCTTTTTGGCTCTGGTACAAGCTTTTGTGTCGTTACAGTTGTGGTCGGCAGATTTTCTATAAAATTATTTAAATCTGTTGCAAATTTGGCCATTTGAATATTGCGTTTTTACTGGCAATACCTTGCAAATTTTGGAAATCAATATTAATGACATCGTCCGAAGCGGATGTTCCCACCTGCTCAGCGGTGCGAGCAAAAATCACCGGATCCGATTCTGGAATCTTTTCCTGTTCATGTGTGCTGAAATTTAGAAAAAAAAAGTTTCTGAATTTGTCCAGGTCTTCGTCACAGAGTAGTGAAGAATGCCTCTAATATATTTTATTTGTAAAATGAAGGGCGAAAAAATTAACTATGATGGTATAGCGGGATACTAAAATATTTACCATCATATAGTGTTTACAGAATTAGCCAGAGAAAAACAAGCTCTAATTTGAATTTAGCGACATAAGTAATCGAGTCGCGAACCATTTGGAAACGCCGCACGAGGCTTCGAAAAAAACTAAGCTTGATTCTGGAGTGCGATGCTTTGGTGCTAGGCTTGGTGACAAGCGAGAGGCGGTGCGCCGTTGTGGCCAAGCACATTTAACTTTTCATGGTATCGGGTCTTCAAAAAAAAAAAAAAACAATCAAAGATTGCTATGGTCTTTCAAACGTATGTCTTAGCAATATTTTTCTTTCATTTTATCAATGAACTCTAATGTTAAAATGTCATGTCAAAAATCCTCACCAATAAAGAAACAATAATGCGACGTACGTTTTCGTAATCAAAGCAATCTTTAATCTTTGATTGTTTTTTTTTTTTGAAGACCCGTTACAATGCTAATGAGCGTTTCCATCAACTATTTTAGGGAAGCCTTAACGACAAGTATTCCCTAAACTGACATTTCTCCATGAAAAACTGTCAGTTTAGGGAATACTTATCGTTAAGGCTTCCCTAAAATAGTTGGTGAAAACGGCCATTAGTGCTATGCGAGGTGCGGTGCCTCGTTATGGCCGCCCACTTAGCCGAGTTTTAAGGTGGAATTTTCCCCTCTGCCTCATCAGAAGTCTTAGCTCTAGAGCCATGTATCTTGGATTGCATAATTATCAAGAATCTTGTATTTTCTGAACATAAATAGCAATAAAATAGGAAACAAGGTGAATTTGTGAGCATTTTTTTCTTTGTAACTTGGCTGGGCTAGCCAGCTGCTACCTTTTAATAAAGATAATTATCAATAATATTATCATTACATCAAAAATTATTATTTTGAACAATTTCCTGAAAAATAGTTGCAACTCACCGATTGTTGCTTTGGTTTTCCATGAATTCCATGTCGTTGATCATTCCGAAGCGATTTTCCTCGCACATGAATAAAATCAGTGCATCAGAAAGTATTAATTTCTGCTGTACATGCCTTCAGGAAAAAAAAAAGGATAATTTTTTTCAAACAAACCCTCAATTACCTCAGGTCTGCCGCAACTATCGAGAACTCTTGTGTGAACAGACCATACGTCTTGGGGCTAAAGGTACGTTTACACTTGAGCACGTACGCACTGAACACACACACACGGCATTCGTTCGTGTTCGTGGCTTTATTTATAAATGATTTTTTTTCTAATCAATAGGCTGATCCAAACAGGAAAATTATTGAAAAATAATAGACGATCAAGTCGACGTTGGTGGCAAACGCAAATTTTTAGAAATAACGTGGAATTTTTGAACAAGTTGCACCAAGCGTTTCAGGGAAATAAATATTCCTTAAAATGGCATTTTTCCATGGGGAATTGGCACTTTAAGGAATATTTATCATTTAGGCTTCCTTGAAACGATTGGTGGAAGTGTCAGAGTTCAGTTTAAAAATTTCACTAGGATGATCAAAACCGATTTCAATTTTTTTGTCTTGTTCTTGAAAAATCTTGGGGATGCTTCACATACTATAAAATGCGCAGCTTTCCAAATTGTTGATCCATTCTACATGATAAAATTAGCGATGCACAATAGTTATTTAATACACAAATAAATATTATATAATAGCGAAAAATAAGCCTGCCGATTTAGAGGGAAAGTGGCCGCGCGACGTGTTAGCGGAGCGCGGCAATCACTCGAAATCGACAAAGGCCTTTTGCGCTCGTACCTATTACACACAATATTTTTTCTACAACAATGGAATAATTTTCCAATAAAATTGAAAAAAATTATAATCGAAACAAATTAAATGTCAGTAAATTCAAAACAAACTGGTTATTTTCCCGCCATTTTAGGTGCTTTCAACCTAAGGATAATACACACTACTACCTACTACTACAGGATAGCCTATCCTCATAAGGCCTGTGTGGAACAGATCTGAAGCCCCCCACCACGCTAAATCACCAGTTGTGACGTAGCAGCATGTCCTTTCTGGCCTTGACATAGGCTGTTTACACCACAGGTTATGATTCCGCGGACTTTTGCTGTATGCATACTTGGTTTTACTACATTAATTAACATTCTAAAACAATTCTTCTTTGGATCACGTTTCCACCTTCCTCTTTGCCTATTATGTTAATCAAAATTAAATAATATTTTTCATCATAAATTTAAATTCTAAACTACGACCTCTAGTGCAAACAGCTGACGACTTGTTAATGACGTCGGAAATGGTGACACACCAATATGGCGGCGATTACCAAAAACGAGGCCGATAAGCAATCTTTAGTAGTGTATATTAGCCTTGCTTTCAACCTGCAATCAATCGGCAAAGTTTATTTTGTCGCTTGTCTCCCATGGCAACAAGCGACAAAGTTTTTGTTGATTGGTAATCGCAAAGGTCAACTTTGCGCTGTCAAAACAAATCGCAAAATGTCACTTTTTATGCATGGTGTAAAAAACCAAATTTCCGTTGTAACTGAGCAATAATTGCGCACAATAATCCTAGCAGCCAAACAGAGACTGACAACTGACAACAGCGAGGAACGCGTTCGTGCTTTTTCGGAATTTTTCGCGTATGAGAGATACAGAGCGAGCACGCGTAGACAGCCGTTTGTGAATCCCACCCGTCAATTATCTCACATTCAACTCGATGTTGCCAAAAATCTTGTTTTGGCTGGAAGCAATGAACTATCGCCAAGAAATGGAACAAGTACACTATTGCCGCTGCTGCAGAGGGGATGCCTGTTTTTGTCGCACTCATCATTAAGTTAAATGGCGGAAATTGATTTCAATACGTATTCCAATTAATAAAACCTGTGTAGGTAAATATAACGAAACTTTCCAAAACGTCATATGACTCATATGTCAACGAGCAACGAAAAAGAACAACATTCCCCCTCGTGGCATCCGTCTTTGTTGGCACTTTTTGAAGGATATGGCAATTAGCATTCCAGCTCTTGGTTATTATAGTTCATTAGCTGTTCTTTCGCAGATCTTTAGGGGGCAATAATTTTTTAGACTTTGTATTTTCTAATAAAATAATCTCTTCTATCTTTTTTTCTATAGCATTTAATCCGAATATTAAAGTCTGTAAATTAGAGAATACCTAGATATTGCGAAGTCTAGGGACTCGCAATTTTCTACTCGTCCTTCCAAAGTACGTAGTTTTTGGAAGATAATATTATTTTTTTTCTATTTGCGAGTCTTTATTGAAATTTTCTTTTTGAAAATGATGTCATATGGCAGAATGCGCTTGTCCTACTCTAAATTTCGGATTTTAAAGCGTGGATAATGACGTCAGTCCCTAGCCTAAAATCAATAAGAATGGGGATGCCGAATTTCCAATTAGTACATCATTCCAAAACATTACTGCGTCGAATTAAAGTATTGTACTACGAAGCGGAAACTTACATCGCAACCTATTTGCGTTCTTTACTAGGCTATAAAAAAAAAGAGGATAAGTATAATCGGTGAACTCTTGTTACCTAGTACAATAAACCTCAAATGCTTGTCTCCAAGTTGCCATAACTTTATCAAAATCTGATGTATGTCTAGAAGCTACAGAAGAAACACTATAGGTCAAAAAACGAATTCCTAAACGTTATAGGGCCATATTCTCCGTAGTTCATAAAGCCTGGCTTAGTAGAAAAGCTCGGCTTTGTCACACAAAAAGCCAAGCGTTTCCACTAAGCCAGGCTTTATGAACTACGGAGAATATGGCCCTTAATCTTGTTAAAATCACCTTTTCTACATTTGAAATCGACGAAAAAATTAACTCACAAGCACAGCCTGCCACATCGAGGCCCGCGGGTGACGTCACCACTATAAGCTGCTAATAGTGGTGACGTCACTCGCAGGCCCTGCCGACTCTAGAATTGGCGAACGTATGCCTTATGAGGATGAGCAATCCTGTTAGTTTACGATTCTTGGATCTTTTTACGTAGATTCCAGTAGCGTAGTCATTTTTTCTCTAGAAGTCATAGTTTTTAAATTATAAACCAAACATACTTTTTTTCAAATGAGACACCCTGTATAATAATACCTCTTAGGATAGCTCTGCTTCTCCTAATTTCAATGATAAAAAATTCGCGATTTCAATCAGGAGATTCTTAGGCGGCGATCTGATGTGGACGAGAATGGAGACCATGGGGAGTGATTTGAAAGACTCGTCATATTTAGGCCCATTTCGTTACACGATAGAGAAGAAAGATATAACGTAGAGAGACGGAGACAAGGCAACCATTGATTGACACAAACCAAGCATTATAATGCCTATTATTGTCAAGCGCCAACAGCCTTGGGCCTTGTGACGTCACTATAGATGCGCGTCTTCATTTTGTGTGGTCCTTCGTCTTTACCCCGACTCATACGCTAAGTCTAGAAGTTGTATGAGGGGGAATAGTTTTAGAAGTTTCACTTCTTAACACGTGTACGATGCTGCACATGATCTTTTTTGTGTTCATTAATTTTTTTAATAAGTTCACTACAGTCTTGGAAAAAAATGTTGATTCTCGTTTGCATTCATGTATCGCATCTGCGTTAAAATATATCATAATGTGCCAAATTGCCAGCACGTGAAAATGGCATATCGAATTAGTGATAATTATAACATATAATTATAAATTAATGCAAAGCCACACCAAGGATAATACACACTACTACTACAGGATAGTTTATCCTCATGAGGTCTGTGTAGATCAAATCTCAAGCAACCCGCCACGCCAAAGAACCAGTGCTGAAGTAGGTAGCGTGTTGTTTCTCGCCTTGGCGTACGGTGTTTGCTTTTGCTTCATGCATACTTGGTTTCACTACCTTAATAATTAAGGGCCGAATTTATAGTCGCTCCTTGAGGTTTCCTTGGACCTTAAGGAAGCCTTGAACGTTTAGAATTGACATGACTAACTTGTCAAATAGTACCAAAGTGTCCATTCTGAACTCACGACCTTTAAGGCAGACTCAAGGAATGACTATAAATTCGGCCCTCACATAAACAACTATTTTCTAGATCTCGATTGCATCTTTCTATTTGCCTATTAAGTTAATCAAAATTAAATAATATTTTTCATTATAAATGTAAATTCTAAACTACGACCGCTGGCGCAAACACGTCGCTGACGACTTAGTTAATGACGTTGGCAATGGTGACACACCAAATATGACGACCAAAAACGAGGCCAAGATTCGAGAAGCAATCCTAGTAGTGTGTATTATCCTTGTGAAGCCACGCTGCTTTCCATTGGCGCGTTCTGTTTCACGGAGCTTCAAGCACCCCGGATGTCAAGTGTCAAATATGTCAAAATTTAATGTAATTATTTTGTTTATTCATTTATCAAAAATGGAAGAGAATCAAAATTATATTTTGGAAATGTTCGATCCCAAGGGAAATAAAACGTAGAAAACCCTAAATTAATAAGAAATAAATGAATGTGACAGCTGACAGGTTGTGGGTGGCGCCGCGTGTCGTTTCAAAATTTTATTTGGGCGTTCCCAGTGTACGACCGTACATACAGCTCGGGAGCTCAACGTTCCGAGTAGCTCCGAGCGTCATCCTCCCATACCGGAAAGCAGTTCATGATTTTTAAGCCTAGTACTCATAACTGCGAAATTCGCATTTTTTTGACATTGCGTTGACAATTTGATGTTTTATGCGTGTATTAAACGTCAAATTGTCGACGCAATGTCAAAAAAATGCGAATTTCGCCGTTATGAGTACTAGGCTTTACAAAGATGTTAATGACAGAATTTCAGATTTCAAATCTGTCAATTCTGATTGGTTGATTTCTTTAAATTCATCTGCAAAAAGAAAACTAGCTCTAATTTGACATAAATATTCTTTCATCGATTATCTACAACCTAAATATCTTAGTTCTCCGATTTTTTTGGCTCATTAACTTTAGGTCTGTTTGTTTGTGTTGCACTAACTTGAACTGAGTTGTAATATTTCGGATTATGGCAGATTAAGAAAGTTCTCGTGCCTCAGGCGCTTTGCTAATACAGTACCGCTAGTAATACGGTATTTTAAATGGTATTTTATAGTTCTCGGACACGAAGACACAAAAATCTTCTAATCCCTTAAGCCTAGTACTCATAACTGCGATATTCGCTTTTTTTTGACATTGCATCGACAAT